TTTTTTTTTTTAACCTTCTAAATTACAGAGGTGGTCAAAAGCAAAAATATATAGGAACATTTCCCTTGCCAAAATAATCTCCCCTAATTAGGGCGCATGCCACTTCCCTATGTTTCTCAGAAAGGAATTGTTCTCAAAAAGGAAGAAACAGATTTCCCTTCACACTCATTGCAGCTGTATTTCTGACTTTTCAAATGTCAAAATAGGGTCAAATAATTTGTTAAAATGCAAAACTGTGTGATTATGTATTAAGAATCACAGAGATTCATTTACGTGAAGTTTCAGAAGTAATACAGCCAGCCCTGCCTGGGGCGCATGTTCAGTGGTGTCCTAGGCCCCCCAATAATGGCTTTATGAGGGTCCACTAGCCACGGTGCTTAGAAATCCACAAAAGGGGGGGTGGGAGCTACTAAACCTCTTCTGAAAGTAGCTTGCCTTGAAGCCAGAGTGTTCTATTACAGAAACCACTTTCTAGAAGACGGCCTGCCCCTTCCTCAGCAGCACAGGACAGAAGGGAGGAGGGAGGAGAGAATGGGTGTCTGCCACTGCAAAGCTTCTTCCCTGTTTCTGAGGGAGCCAGCAAGACCCGCCTCTGACATTCTCACTTCTCACCCCCCTTTAACCCTCCTTTATCCTATTTCCCTAGATACTCAAAGGGTCCCCACAGTACCTTCCCAGCCCTGGTCTGAACCTAAGGCTCCAAATGGCTGGCTTGCCTCCCTCCAAGCAAACCCTGGCCCCCTGGCTGACCTCAGCAAGGTGCAGGGTTTGTGGGAAACAGCACAGAATCAACCAGCACTGCCATCAGTAGTAAATGCCCCTGTATCTCCTCCAAGTGTTTGGTTTTTTTCAAAGAGGAAACATGTCACATCCCCCGACCCTTTACTCCCCAAAGGAACTTCAAGGAAAAAGGAGGGGGGGAGTGAGGGTGTATATGTTTGTAGTTCTTGGCCAGAGAAGGCTAGTCAGGCAAGCAACATTCCTGTAGCTAAAGTTCCTTTCCAGAGAAACTTTTTCTTCATATCTTTACCCAAACTCTTTAGAGCTTCTGGGATGGCTCAAGTAATATTTAATGGCAGTTGCCGTGGTCAGAAACACAGGGACAGGCAACAGATGTCAGTAGGCATTTTTAAGCTGGAGGCTCCTTTAAGAAAAGCTAAGTACTGGCACCTACCTGGAAACGCGTCCTGTTCATACCCCTCCAGGATGGTCACCTGCCTCTGTCTTCTATCGTTGGTTCAAGAGGAGTAGGAAAAAAACTCCACGGAATATTTCTAAATCTTTACCCCTCATGAGTTATTTTGCATGAACGTGTATTGTAAATGGGAAAGAAGTTAATTATTTCGTTTCAGATGAAATATAATGATCCAGTGAGCAAACAATCCGCCCTCTCTCCTCTCTCAGCTAACAAGCCACCCAATTTTACTTTCCTGCCTCCACCCATCTGCTCCACCCTATGGAGAGTTGCCAAGGCGAGTCCAACTTGTCCAAACAGGACATGGCTTCAGATAAGATTCTGCCCACACCCTGTACTTCGGAAAGACCAAGTGAAGCAATTGATTTTGCATGTAAATAAGGACAGGTGCAAAGGTAACAACCCAGCAAAATCCCTACACATTTCCAGACTGAGGCCCAACGCGGTAGGGATGAGGGGGTGGCAAAACCCACACTTAAGACTCCTTAGGTCAGCTCCCAAGTTCATGGCCACCTGGCCAGTGGCATTCCATGACCTTCTCAAAGAAATTTTAGTGAAAATGAAATCATTTTCCCTACTAGAGTTATACTTTGTTTTCCTTCTTTATGCTCTCTGACAATTTTGTGTTTTAGTTTTTAGGGCAAGCAACCCAAGATAAATTGAAAAATTCCCATAATGTCTAATCCTGCTGTGTACCTCTTTCACCAGGCCTCCCCTAAGCCCTCACAATTCTCTTCTGTAAAGCGTTATATAATCAAATCCAGAGGGCTGTGTGAGGCCACACCGCCTCTCATCTGCCTCTGCCTGGTGCCCTCCCTATCGCTGGAGACCCACCCGACTCCACCCTAAGGGGCCTCCACCCTTGGGGCCCCACCCTGTAGGGAGAGGGAGCCTGGGAGGGGCCAACTGGCTCTGGGTAGCAGCCAGTTCCTGGAAATTGTAGCCAGCACAGGGACTCCTGGAACCTTAAAAATAACCAGAAAGAGTCGTCAGGACTCTGCTGCTGAGGAGCCTCCATGAAAGTTCACCCCAGAGCCACTGAACCTTTGGATACAAAACCAGGAGCCAATGAAGACTGGTCTCCCTTCAAAAGTAAACAAAAAAGAAACAGAAAAGCATTTTGAACCACTGCTATCGACATGGCCTAAACTCTAAGCCTCCTCCTCCTTGCTCCTGCCTCTAAACTGGCTGTCCCTTCACAAGTTTCCATTTGCCTTATTTTCTGGTCATTCACCCTAGGAACCTAGAGGTCATCTTCAAAGCCTTCCTCATCTCTGCTTTCCATCAGTACTCCTGGTAGCCACCTGGGCCAGGCCCTTGGGGCCTCACACTTGTGTTGCTGGAGCTTTTCCCTCCACTGGTCTCTCCACCTCCAAGTCCCCTCCTGTCTGGTCAGTCCCAATCCCCTACCATTTGCCCTCTTCACTGTCCCTCCCAGGCTCACAAGCCTTCCTCCCAACGGATCCCCCAGGCACCCTTGTTGGGCATCCCTTCCCTCTCCAACCAGCTGCCCTTGCTCCAACAAGTGCCCTTCAGCTGGCTGCCCTGTCTCCTCCTCCCCACCCCACTCCAGGCCTTTGTGCATTTTTGGCCCCAGTGCTGGGCAACCAGCTTGGAATGCCCCCCCCCCCTTTCCGGCTTATCTAAATCCTCCTAATTCTTCAAAGACCAGCTCCAGGCCCTCCCTTCTCTGAGCAGCCAGCTGATCACTCCTCAGTAGAAGCTGCCTTTCCTTACCTAGATATGCTGGGCCTTTAGCTTCCCCAATGGCACGTCCAGTCTTGTACCTCCACCAGTATGGGCAGCACCCTGAAGGAGAGGTGTGCCTGCCCTTTCTTAGAGCCCCTTCCACTCCGCAGGAAAATCAGACTTGTCAATGAATAAATTTTTTACATCAAGTATAAGAGCACTTAGGCCACAGTAGGAGTTTTACAATCATTTCTCCTTCCCTCTGAATGCACTTGGTTCCCTTACCTAAGTAACAGGGGTGAAGGAGGGCCTAACCCTAAAGGAAACCTAGTAAACCAAACTTCCTTAGAAAAGTCATCGCCCTTAACCTTAGCCTTGCCTATCATGGGTACTCCAGAGACCTCATCAGTATCATCCTCAAAGTATTTATTATTATCCACCCAGCGAGGTCTTCTAAACTAATCCAGTGTCAAGGCCTCTACTCTGTTTGAAAAACTAAAATAGAGAAAGATAGCGAGAGATGAGGATGGGGGAGAGGCTAGTGAAGGGGGAGGTTGTGTGTGTGGGGGAAAACACTAGTTTTTTAAAAAAGGACAATTGCCCTGACTGAGGAAAGCAAGGGGCTAAGTGAAGTCACTGGTGCTGTTCTTTGCATGGACTATGTCATTTAAGGCCTCTGAAGTTGGTACCACCTTCCCATTTTACTGATAAGAACACTAAAACAGAGAGGTAAAGTAACCTGCCCAGGTGACATACCTGCTAAGTTATAGAACCAGGATTTGAACCCAGGGTAGTCTGATTTCAAGGTTTGTGTCCTTGGCACTTCCCACCCCACGGGCAGAGGGAAACATCACACCACCAACAGTTAGGAGTGGGATAGAGATTTCTGAGTTGGTCCCTGGGGAAGATAGAACCTGGGAAGAGTCTAGGCATACTTAGGAGTGACAATTTCCACTCCTCCCAACTGGTCCCTGCTGCCCACCCTGTCTTGGCATGCTAGAATGGATGCAAGATCAAAAGATATATTCAGAAGACCCTGAATTAGGTTATTATTCCTCCCTGCCAATGCACCTAGAATTGTCCATAAAACTGAGAAAAATTGGCAGCTTTCTCCAAGTAAATACGGAAATCCTCATAAATAACTGTATAAAGGTAGAAGGGTCAGGTCCTCATCCCCATTTTAGAAATGAGGAAATGGATGAACAGAGGTGAAACGACTCGCCCAATTTCACAGAGCTGGTTGGACCTCCAGCCAAGAACAGAAATGTGTCTGCAGTGCTCTTTTTGTTCTGCTTCAGAGCCTGTGCTCTGGGGCCAGGTGCTGGGGTCACTCCTCTAGCTGGGAGGGTGTGGGTGTGCTGTGCCGCCACCAGTCCACGTGAAGCAGGAGGGCCACTGGGAGGTTCCAGCAGGCAATTTAGATTTCAAAACACCTTTTCAGGTTAGATCACTGTAGATCCACTCCAACCTGTGGCATAACTCAGAGTAATGATTGTACATAATTTGAGATTAGCTCTAATAAGTAGGTACTCAATAAATACTTGCAAGATGAATAAATGAATGGATGTCAAACTACACTTCTCACATGCTGGGATAAATTAAGGGCAAGGAAGGGCCCTGGAATGATTGTACATCAGGTGTCCTACATGGAAAATCTGTCCAGGAAAGACAGCATGAAACACCATCTTCAAAAATGCAAAACAAATGCGACAACTTTGGGGAGCTTGGGAGAGAAAAACTCCCTCATTTGGAGAACTAAGTGGAACAGAAACTTGATCATACAAATGAAAGTAGTTTTGGAGTGCAAAGCTTTGCAAGGTTCCAGGGTTTAAAGTGCAGAAAGATAATGGAGTGGATTTCAGTGATTAGACTCAGAACTGTAACAGGAGAAAGAACAGTATATAGAGCAAAAGAGAAAAAGCCCACACTCATTCAGACGTCGCTCTCCAGGGTAGAATGCATTGACCTCAATATCCACTTGATCTCTTATGTCTAGATTTGGCCAAACTCCACTGATCTGGGCTGAGACTAGCTCTGGGCTATCCTGGCGGGATCCCCAAGCCTCCCAGAGATTGTCAGACTAAGCTGGGCATTTCCAGGTCCTCCTTCCTCCAAGGGTGCTGCCTCAGGGGACACCCTATCCAAAATGAGCTTAAGAGGCAGACCCAGGGGTTAAACTAAATACATGGGCCACAGGGCCCCTTAACTGGCTCCATCCTAGTCCCAGCCCCCATTAATAATTAGATGGAGAAATGATAATGAATTCAGCCAGCCAACACAATGGAGTGAGTTTCAAAAACCTCTAGGAACCTGTTTTGTTCAAGAAAGAACTTTACTACAAACCCTCTGACCAAGGGATACAAAACATACAGATAATTTTTTAAATGTTCCATTGAATGTGGTCACATTCCAGAATCAATACAGGACCAGTGGAAAGATTTTTTTTTTTTTTGCTTTGGGAGAAATTAGTCCTAGGTTGGCTCAGAAACTGTGCCTATAGCATTGTGCCTCTTTTATTACTACTAAATTTCAAGGAAGGAGAGTTGAGTTAGGGGCGGGGGGGTGGAGGGGGTGGAAGCAAGGCTACCCCCTTTAGACAATACTCTCCCTTATCAGGGCAGACTGCCGTCTGGTTTCCTGTCTCCAGCTCTGGCATGACAGCTTAAGATGAGAAACGAGGTCTCAGAAAGGGACAGGTCAGGCTTGAAAATGAGAATGCTAACGACCATCATAATCCTCTTGCAACTCACTCCAAGAATATCACATATTAGCAAACCAGATAACAATTGTTTTAAGACTCTAGGGATTTTTTTTTTTAAGCCAGAACCAATGATAAATGAAACACTTGAGAAAGAAATCCAATTTCCAGAAAATAATGTAATTCCAGTATTTAAAGGATGAAGTAGCTTAATTTTTTTTTCTTTAAACACAACTGCATGTAAAAACAGAGAGTAAGAAATATTGCCTAAGAAAGCTGTCATTTTATAGCAAAAATGTTGGTCTGGAAATATTAAGGCAAGTACCACAAAGGAGCATGAGATCCAGTGCAATTAGGAATCATAATTTATATTGTCAAGAGGTGAAACCATTATTCTCATTTTTGGTAATTACAGAAACTATCAGACAGTATCATTTCCCTCAACTATTTACCTTAGCATGTAAAATCTTGCAGAATTTTTTTTTCCTGATAGAGTAAGAATATATTAGACTCTAATCATCTCTATTACCACCCCCTCCCCCTACAAAAAGGGGAGGAAAGAATTTGGGGAAAGCCGAATAAAGACTCTGTTTACCAAGTCTGGTTGGATTGTTAACAACATTGGAACTAAAACAAAAAAACCTGCTTCAGTTGTCTTACAAGTCAGCTTAATATTTCAAGTTGCTCTTCCCAGAAGGGAAAGGACAAATCTTATTGAGACCTTCCAAAACACCTATCTTTTCTCAAGGAAAGTAATCAGTAGCCAACTATTTGATCCTTCATATCAATATTTTATACTTTCCTTTTATACATAAAGAAAGAATGTGGTAGGATGTGCCATTTAAAGCCAAAGTATTATTATCAATTTTTAGGAGTATAAGGCCTGATTTGCTGCTTCAGCAACTCTCCAAATTAATTCCATTAGAGACACTGTAGATAATTACTTTAGATTTTTTTAAAAATGCTCAAATAAGTTTAAAAAATAAACTTGCCAAAAGTTTTCTTTTCAACCAATTACAGCAGAACCTCCATAGTTGACCACCTCCCTAAGTTGACCTAATTTTCGTAGACCAAACATGCACCACATGTATGTATCAGAACTGTAAGCCTAGTTCCTTATGTTGACCACCTCCATACATTAACCAATTTGTTACAGTCCCTAGGGTGGTCAACTTACAGGGGATCCACCATATTTCCTTAAAGCTTAGTTTCTCAAGAACCAAGAGGAAAAAATTATTAAGGTAGGTTTGAGGTAGTTAACCTGTAAACTTATTAACTTACAAGTGACAGTATTTAATTTAAAGAAATGGGATTATGAAATATCTGTCATCAGGAAACAAAAAGTTTTTTTGTTTTAAAAATATAAGATTAAAATTTTCTAAACTATCACTAAATGAATTGGAACCTGTTTACTGCAGGTTCTCCTTTGAGATTTTTATTCTTAAGAAGGTTTGAAATGCAGATCTATAATACTATACAGTGAAATCTTTGTCCTTACAAAAAAAAAAATAATCCTGAAATCTTGACGTGTGGTGCATGTCCACTCTAAGAAAATATGTCTTATGCTTTGCTTCAATTATTTCTCTAAAGATTTTTCCTTCAAAACATAAGCAAGACTTTCAACTCAGCACAGGCTACCAAGTCTGCTTAAATTCTCCGAGCACTGAAACAGTCCTGAGCATTAAGTGTTAAACCTGCATAAGGGTGGGCCACATCTTTCAGGTGAGGCGGTCTCCTAACCTGTAAGGTGTTAATCCTGATCCAAAATTGACAGCTTCAGGGCAAAATGCCTATCTTAAACACCCTACCCACTTCAACACTAGAATTTCAAACAAACAAAAAGAACTCCTGCTTTCTATTTCTTTGCCAATATGCACTGAAATGTCTCAAAAATCACAATATGGCAATGAAAAAGTTTAAAAAGGTAAAAGTATTATTCACCCATATAAACACAGTGGAGCAAAGGATGCACGTAAAAAGGTTAACTGACTTCTCATTATGACATAACACAGGCATCTTGAGCAATAGCAAGTGTGTAGAGACACGATAACTCCCTGGGTGGGGATACAGAGTTTAGGGGCAGGGACCAGGGCCTGGTCTGGGCTACTGATCTACCAGAAAACAGCCTGAAACAGGAAAGAGCACACATATGCCACTTGG